TAGTTATGTAGTTTTAATTCAGTTTGAGCAAAAGTAAATCCATAATCTCAAGTTAAAACGAAGCTATGAGTGTAACATGCAATCTTACTATTAACACTACGTAACGGCATATTTGATAATATTACCACGACATATATACATATAAATAGTAATATAAAACAAATCAATAGGAATGTAAACGCAAATTGTTATGTTCTATAGATATTTTCAAACTTGAACAAAATGCATAATTGTATTTGACCTCAAATTTCGTAAGTACATTTAGAAAACAAAACTGAGATTTTGTTTAAGTTGGTTCCCTAACATTACTGCGAGCAATCGTGCTTGTTTTGTCCGATTACACTGTGAAAACATGTTGGTTTTTCAAAACGTGGACACAAACAAACATAAAGATATTACGAGATGGTTACTTGTGCTCATCAACATGCCTGATTATTGAAATAAAGCCTTTAACAAACTATCCGGATTGATTTTCTAATTTCTACGCAATTTACCGATATTGACTACAACACCAAAGCATCCTGCCACGTTCTTATTTTGAGATCAACTTTTTTTTTTACAATGCATCTATTTATCAATATATTCTTGTCACAGAGTGTATCATTGGTTTTGTAAAACATACTCAGGTGTTTCTGAAAATTGAAATTATCATAGTTATAATCGTCATTCGTTAAAAAAAATTCACGCATCGGAAGACTCTTAGCATAATGTTCGCCTTGTGTGTTAATTGAGAAGTCTTTGATTTCTGGCAGGTTCAAATTAATGACATAAACAAGAAACACGTGTCAGAGTAAAACATATCTAACAGTAGAGTGGTATCTTGCGCACTAACAATTTCAAATTTTGGCTTCATTCAAGCATACCATTTACATGTGTTCATCTAGAATATACATGTTATAGTTGCCACTGATCCTCAATCAGCCATCCATCAATCGTAAAATATTAATTTCAGGAATTTCTACTTTCTGTTATGAGTGTATAGTTTAAAATCAACTGAAGCTGACTGAGTTTGTAAATCATCAGATTTAAAATAAAAATTGTTACAAGATAAGAATGAAAATTACGGCAAAATCTGCATTACCTTCCTGAGCAACTGAGATGACTTCCGGTATGATGTGGTTTGTGTCGCTCAGTCTTTTGGTTTTGTTGTTTTGAGACATTTTTTTTTTGTCATGGAGTTGTCAGTTTGTCTTTTAGTTATGCGTATGAATATCCCTTTGGTATTTCTCGCCGTTCTGTGTCATTTGTTCAAAACGAAAGCAATTAGATGAGTATCAACGTTGGCATTGGATGAAAAAAAAAGTTGGCAATATATTTGAATGAATGCTGTTATAAGATTAGAATAAAATTTGTCATTAGATTGTATGAAAGTTTTCTTTAGATGAAAATTAAAAGTGTCATTTAATTAGAATGAACGTTCTCGTTGGATAAAAATCAAAGTTTTCATACGATTATAATCGGTTTATAGCAATTGTGATCAACGTGGTGTGGTGGTCAAACAATAGTGCCTGAGATAATTATATTGAATTTAGATTTCTCAAACAAATGTATAAAATACCTTACTTTCGCAATCGGTTTTAATGTCCGATCAAAATTGATTAAACGATACGAAAGTCAACGCGGTGTTTTGCTTGCGCTACGTTTTGATTTATAAAAAGATCAAATTAATATTAGAAACCTATTTTTAAACATAATCACACATTATCCATTTATATGTGTATAATTGCATACTGAATCATTGCCGAACTCGTTGTTTCCCAAGGTTAAAATGGCCGACTATACCAAATGGAAAATCCAAAGATTTAAGTCCAAGCTAGACCGACAAAATCATAACCAAATGGAAAATAGACAGACACCGATCTACAAAACACTACACATAACAGTAACCACGGAATAATGCGAGCCTTACAATAATTTTAGAGTGATTTGAGGTTTTCCAGAAAGTTTGGAATATCCTGCTTAAAATGTGATATTATGTATTGCACCAGTCTATATTTCACCAACTTGTGGTTGTTTTAAGGTTTCGTTGATCGACGACTTGCATATATTTTTCTTTTTGTTCTATATAATTGTATATGCGATTAGGTATAACATGTTGTATAAAAGTAACGGATGTTTGTTTCTTCTATCTCATACTGTATTTCTTTTTGTGCCTTAGTTCCCCCATTAAGGAGATGTGAAATTATTCATATGTATTCTATTTATTTTCAATTTTAGTTGGCGCCCTATTCTACAAAATTAGTTTGCTAAACTGAATTGTACAATATAATCAGGTAAAGCCATAGGTTATGCTGATGTTAAATCTACAGCTGCAATCTTATATGTTTCTTTTGTATCATATTTTGTAAAAAGAGTTTACCAAATAGTCATTCAACGAATTTGAATTGGATCAATTCTGTTAATAGTAATTATCCATTTATTTCAAAACATTAAGTTATACTTCGGAAAATTGATCATTGTTTGCCTTTTATTAATTTACCAATATTGTATCCTATATAAGATGTAATACCGCTGCTCGAAACTTATAAAGTAAAATTTATAATGATTTATTACAGGAATATGCACGGGTCGAGAGTTTTGTATCAGGCATTATTTTAATACAAAGTAATTTTAATATTTTATGTTATCTATCAAAAAAATGATTAAATTGTATTCATTGTATGTGAACTTTCCCTAATCCCTCATGTCTAGAAACGTATACGCAAAACAGAGACCAATCATTTATATCCTTGTTTAAAATAAACATGTGATCTTATTAAAGATAAAAAAAGCTATTATTTTAGGGTCTAATATTTTTTTTCATTTGTGGAAAACTTAGGTTAGGTAAAAATATCAGTTTCTAGGATCGTATAAAAGCTTACATTTGAGTGATTCCAAAATATAAACATAAAGTCTTTATAGATACCGGGATTACACTTTGTACACCAGACGCGCATTTAGTCTACAAAAGACTCGTTAGTGAGGCCCCAATTAAAACAAAGTTTTCAAAAGGCTAAACGAAAGTACGCAACGTCTGGAGTGTGTGATAGCCTTCGTTACCCTGCTTTCGGATAATCTACGGTAATTTACAATCTCAAGAACCATGTATCTTAAATGAAAAGTACGTATTTTTTTTCCATAACAGCTTGTGATTTACACTATTATATCTCAAACTGAAAAAAGGATGGGAGAAAGTTTATTTGTTCAATATCATGTTTGGTTTGGAAGATATTATAAAACAAAGCAAAAAAACATATACAAGAGCGATTACTCAAACTCATTAAGACCATTTTTCTTTTAAACGACGGCAGTTCAAAAAATAAATAAACTGTTTGATATTATATACCATATTTGTTATCCATATCCTACATATCACGGATTGAGGAAAACATGAATTTATGTGGCCATTTGACATCGTAGTTTTGACAAAATTTGCATACAAGCCTGTAGAAAATTGGTACTTTGTTGAACAATTAAAACGTTGCTCCCATTTAACCTCTAAATCTACAAAAATAGTTTCTCACGAAACATTGTGAATCCGCACTATATAATTTTATTATAAATGTTAATTCAGACTTCCTGGAATCAAAAACAATGTATTTTAAAGCAAATATGATCAAGTCAGCGTAGTTGATGTCGTTTATAGGAAATCAACATCAGTTTGCAATTTAATGGATGAGTAACTAAACAGATAGGAAGAGAAATTTGATATAATTTGTAAATTAGTGGCAATTGTAAGTAATGCGGAAATCAGTTTGTAAACACAAGGTCATTATATTATCATTGTCGTAATTTCAGATGACTCTTTACAAATGCAAATAATATGAAACCATATCAACCATGTTAAGTGGTGATCAATAAATCATAATTGAAAAGACAATCTACGACACAATGCTAGTAAATGCATTATATTCATGAAAACATGCACGTTTGGGCGTAGCTGATTTATGCATGTCCAAATATGAAGCGGAGGTACATGGATATGTTTCAAAAGTTAGCAGCTATTCAGTAAAATGAACAATTCTGAAATTAATTATACAAACATAACTATAAATGCTATGATAGAAACTCTCACAAGGGATTTTGGTGCCTCCAAACATACAACTGTACCGTATTTTGTTTTTATAAATTATACACCGAGTCTAATAACTTTAACAATTACATAGCTCTGACTTTAAGATTAATTGCTGTTTGCTTAATATAGAGTGAAAATATGTATGCATATGTAGAACGAAAAAAATATTTAAAAAGTAGTAAGTAGCAAAAGGATGGATGGATAGAAATTACCACTATATATGTTGGAGTGGAAGGTGTCTTTGTTTTTACATAAATTATGCCATGACATATACCGCGAACACCATTTTTAAGAGTTATTACAAAATGATGGTAGTTAAAGTGCAGAAAGCTTGACTCTCTTTTAACACGAGTTTGCATCTCTATTTGAAAAATGGTATTTGCTGCTCCTTACCTAAGCGAGAGGCATTTCTCTTTTTTTAACCGTTATCTTGCAAACTAGCGCATTACAAGTTTAAAAAAAATATATCAAAAGTTCAGCGTCTAGTAAAAACTCCTCACAGATACCTGACTTATTATTTAATACACCCGACTTGCTTTTCATTGGACGCATCAATTTTTGATTTCTAAATCAATATGAAAGAAGACGAGAGTTTAAACATATGTTCCAAATCTGGCTTTAGCCATATATGCCTGGTTTAAGTGTTTCAGGTGATTTTTTTACATTCTTAAGAGTAACTATACGTTATCATAGTTATATGAAAATATTTATAATAAATCAGGATAACAAAATTGAATAAATATCGAAGGCCTTTTATTCGTGACAATTATTTGTGATATACATTACTGAATAGCCATAATTGATAAATATTTAAGAGAAAATACCTCTTTATTTCAATTTCACTTTGTTCCACTTTGTTCCACTTTGTTCCACTTTGTTCCACTTTGTTCCACTTGTTCTGCATGTCATTGATAACAACATTATCAGCAGTATTAATGAAAACAAATTAATTAATCATTTTATTGAAAGGCATACATTCTCACATATGAAACATATACAAGTTTCACGTTTTTCTTGTTGTTTCCAACTATCAATTATCCTACTGTGTTCAGTGTTCTGAAGTAATCTCATGTGTTCCGAAAGAGTTACTTGTTTCCCATCTTGTTTTTTATATTAATGTATCCTCCTCGTTCACGGTGGTAGTGGTAGTTTCGTTTGTTATTAAGGCTTTATTTGATAATCTATTCATTTCTAACGTTTGCTTACGTTTCTCTCTAATAAGTCTATATATATTTTGAATTTCTTGTCGAAACGAACGTGAGAATAAGACACAAACAAAGAACACGTTTACTAAGTTTATGCCTTGCATATGGTCAAATATCACTAATGTATTGTACATATCGGCAGTCATTTGTATACCGGAAGATATCATTACGATATTGTACAATGTGACTGGTAAAACTAAAGCAAAATAAAGCATTGATATTGCTACGACAGCATTGGTATATTCTGTTGAACCGTTATCCTGTGTTGATGTTGATGACGAACTATGTTGAAAACACAATCCACATGTTAGCAGTGTGTTGAGAATCAGTAAAATGATAAGGGGCAAGTATACATATGCTGCTGCTGACAGAATGTTCCAAATTTTCAGATGTACGATTTGGAGATTACCTTCCGGTGCAAACATGTCACATATACCAGTTTTATGATTTATATCATAAACCCACATAGCATGTACACTGGTCACAACTAAACCAATCAAGATAATACCCACTGCAACCTTCGCCATGAAGACCGTACACATTGTTAAAGCACTTGAAGGATGACATACTGCAATGTATCTATCTATAGTCATTCCAACTACAAACCATACTGAGCTATACTGGACCACTTTATGTATAAAAGCTAGTATCGAGCAAACAGAGCTATTCAAGTTTGACAATTCAGGAAAAGCACTAACAGTTGTAAGGAGATGCATGCCATACAGAAAAAATAATGTTGTGAGGTTTCCGATACAATACGCACTCATGTAAATACTTACTGATATTCGCGTTTGTTTTCCCCTGCAAAATATAATCAGAGTGCTAACATTAGCAAAGGTTCCAACTAAGAGGAAAAGTGGAAGAATGTACTTTTCTTGAACCTCACTGCCTTGCTGCCTAGAATTAGGAATATAATCAGGGAAGAGATAACTGTTATTAGAGGTTTCATTTCCGGAAATATTTGCCATTTCTATGTAAGAGGATGTATCCAACACAATATGTCGGCTCGTTTAGTCACACTAAAACAATTTACGGAAACTAATATTCTCAATTCGACGTGGTTATTTGGTATTGTTATAATCTAATGTATTTCAGGCAATGCCGTTTCCTTTATTCTCTTGAATTATTCAACACAATTTAATTTGAAAATAATTAATTAACTAATGTCATGTAAACACAACATGCATGATCTGCATCAAAATAAATCCTTATTATGTTTATATATTGTGCATATTCGATTGAAACTGAAAGCAAACTCCTTACCTGTGTGAGAATATTCTAAACTATTTTCTCTTTTAAGATTTACTAAATTTACATTTATTCACAAGTTCCAATATATTTATATCTGATTGGTTCTAATCAATTGTAAGTTTTTGTCAACTATTTGTTTTTTTATAAAAAACGAGTCGGACACAGACTTGAAATTCATCGAATATTCGAAAAAAGTGAACGCAAAAACGATATCACAACGTTCTTTTCTTCTGACGTTTTAAATCATATATGTTGACTTGAGTTACTTGTGACGTTTATATAGTAGATTCTTGTTCATAAAGGAATGAGTTTCATTTGTCAGAATAATGACATATAATTAATTTAATATCCGATCACTTAACGTTAAATTATCTTATTGGTATCTCCCCATATCATTAACTGCCTTTCAATTTATTGTCGGATATCTCTCGATCAATTAATCCTCTGATCCAACATCATCGGGAAACATTCTAAGCAATGATAAATTCTGCATATCCCAGCTAGTATTGTTTAATACTCTATCTATAGACAAGGTTTACAGCTGTTATCCACTAGCAGCACTCGTCATTGGATTTCTCGAATCTGTGTTTGACAAGAAAGGATTGATTAGTAATCATAATTCCTATGATAGATTTAGTGATAATACTTTTCGTTCGATTTCAAATGATTTAAAAGGCAATAGATTATATTACAAATTAGGGATTAGATATTTGTAAAACAAAACATAAAAGCTTTGATACATTTAAAAAAATTTTTAACATTAATTGCCTTTTTTAATATGTAAGACTGATCGCTTAGGTACTTAAGTAAGTATTGATAACTTATATTTATTAATAAGCTTATCATAGATACAAGGATTAAAATTTTGTACGCCAGACAAATATTGCAAAATACTCATCAGTGGCGCTCGAATAAAAAAAAATATGTTGTCATCACGTGGTACATATATTTCAATTTAAACCTGCATTCCATAAGTCTTGTAGACGTCTGTGTTTTACTTCTGTTTGTATTCATATTTGCCGATTAAGTGAGTCTGTTTTTTCGCTTTTTTTGCTTTTTTTCTATTTGTTTTTGTTTTTGTTTCTGTTTTTGTTTAGTTAATATCATTGTACCACATAATTTGATTGTATGTATGAATAAAAGCAACTAGCAATAAGAGCAATTGCTATCATTTACCCTTTTTTGATATTTATGCCATTTTTGGAAAACAGTCACCGGTAAAAATATAAAATATATTGGACAAAATGCAGAAACAATTGGTTATCAAAAAGATTTAAGATAACTGCGATGTCCTGATGTGTGTCCTCAAATTGTATGAATGGTCATATATCAACATAGGATTGGAATAAATTTGTTATGACTGGTATGACACACATTAATGTACAAGCTTGTAATAAAACTCACAAAGTGTTAACTTTGAAATTTGTACAAAAAAGATCTTCCTCATTATATTTTTTTTATTTTACTATAGTTACCAAAAATACAGAAAAATAAAACATTTCACATCATTAATCAAGTACAGTGTAGGTTATCAAAAATAAATTATTGATGGTGGATCATGCGAAAGAAAATGCAAAACTTTACTCTTTTAATATAAGGCATCATTTAGGCATAGTCAGTTGATTTTCTTTTATTTACTGAGAATCAGTTTGTCTCTCCCTTCTGACGTGAAATGTTAAACATTGTAATACAATCACTTTTTAATTTCAGTAATATTATCTAACTCATTTCAAAATACTTAGATTGTACAATCTATCGAAAATGCTGTTTTCATTGTTTTCTAGTGACCGATCAATACATGCGAAGCAATCAAACATTAAAGTCTCATAAATATGAGAGCATCTGGCATTTTTAATGATCATCGTTTTAAATATCCGTTAATGCATAACCTTATTAGCTACAAATATAGTCTAATTTTCATTGTAAAACATATTTCAAATACAATCGAGAAGGTATGTTTAACGAATAAAAATGAAATAAATGTATTACAAAATAAGTCATGTTTGCGTTACTATCATTGATATTTATGTGCAAAGTAAAAAAAACCAAAATAATATCAATTGTTGTACACCTGCACCATATATTGCGAAGAAATCATACATTTGATTTATCTGCATCACATAAAAACATATGCATATTTCGAAAGTTATTTGTGAGGAAAGAATATTCAACAAGCTCAAATACATGTTCCTTCTATACATCTACATGATTATTTTGTTTATATTTAGACAAATACAGTGGTAAGTAGTTATTTATTTGTGCAGGCGGATAACAACAGACTAGTTGAAAAATGATAAACCATATATATTTTTCATAACACTGTACTGACTGTTTCTTCTTGAGCCATGGCGTTGTCAGTTTATTTTCGACTTCTGAGTTTGAATGTCCCTTTGGTATCTTTCGCCTCTCTGTTTCATTATCATATTTCAATAGTTCATCCAAAAATGGATATTAAAAGAAATTTTATATTTACAAATTTTAATACGCATTGACCAGCAGGTCTTGATATGAAAACCTGGAAATGGTAGAGACCTTTATTTATTTACATATGAATCATCAGCTCTTTTGAAAATTCAAATATAATGTTGTTTTCGACAAAATGCCAGAATTTCATCTAATAGTAAAAGTTTAGTCACGGGTTTTGAACAATTGTTAAAAACACCTGATAATTTTCATTGAATTCGTAATATTTTGAGTCTTTGATATGCTTGATGTAAAATATCAACGTAAGGGAAAATAAGCATTGATAAAGTAACAGAAGACAAATGGCATTGTATTTGAAAGACAAGTCCGTCGAACTAACAATTCAATAATGAATGGGTTGGAATATGGGTTAAGCTGCATCCATGCACATTTAGATTGTTCAATTTCAAAAACGACAATCATTTTAGCAATCATTGTGTAAATTAAATGACAAAATAACCTAGAAAGAAAATTAAACACAATATTCAGTTTTTGGTCGTTTGGCATATCAAATTACTTGTCAGTTTGTTATTAATTTGATGCAATCGATTACGCATAACATTTTATTTGTTAATATAACAAACTATTCTTTAGAAAGTAAATTCTCAAAATAAAGATATTTAACACAATTCAGATTGTGTTCTATTACAAATCCCTGTAGTTGAATTTCTGATTTGATACGTAGGAAATTTATAATCCCTCAATTCATGGCTCTTACTATGCTAGGATAAACCCTTTTTAAGAAACTACTTTGCAAACATTTGCATGTGTCTTCAAATGAATGTAACAAACAATTTTTAAGTAATTTTTCAGCTTATCAATTGGATTGTTTTGTATAATCAGTCGACAGTACGATGATGTTCAAATCTAGTAAATCGACCAAAATGAGACAAATTAAGTAAAAAACCAAATATTGAGAAAATGGCATGCGCTCAAAAAGAAGTACGACCGGGTGTGTCGACAGGTCAATAACCGGTCGACAGGTCAGGCATCTGTCGTTTGCATGCATCACCCTATATTCGAATTCACACTTGCAAGTAGGGTATTATCAACCAAGTAATTATCACTTCTGTGTTATCATTGCTATGGTCATACTTATAAATTCACTGTTTATTTCGAATTTCTAATTACTTTCTACCACATGCATATATGACAAAATCTTTTTGGGATTTTGTGTCTTCAACTACGTACTTTAGTTGACCTTTTTAACTTTTTAAATTTGCGGGTCACTGATGAGTCTTTTGTAGTCGAAACGCGAGTCTGGCTTACACAGTTGTAATCCGGTTATCTATGATGAGTTAATTGTAATACTCGGATATAGCACAAAATCGGTAAAATTACAGATCAGACGACTTAATTGTCTTATACATGATATAAAGATCTAAGATCGCGATAACATGTCGCCAGTGTTTTGGGAAATCGACGCGTCGAATCGGCCACCCAATTCGTAATGATGACAGTAAAACTTATTGAGTGTCGTCTCAGCCGTTGTTCATCATAACTCGGTTGGAACATTTTGTTTTGTATAAGAATTTATACCCTGTATATCAAATCCGTATATTATGAACATGCACTAACGTGACGTGTGTATACGCCAAACGAGAAGCAGAGTTACGTCTGAGAAATAGAAGGTGGAAAATTGGAAGCTGGTATGTTTTGAGATTACGTCTGTCGTTCATATGACTTTTATGTGTAAATATTGGAAGCAACCAAGATATTAAGCGGACCTTCTACTTTCGTGGTATCCGTTATACCATGTTCATGTACAAGATGTCATTGAACCTTGTTTATTGTTTGCCTTAAATGCATTCAAGTGGATTGATTCAATATCTTTCGATTGAAAGTCCTGAAAGTTTGTTACCCAATATAGCGTCCGAATGGTTGAACAGTAATATCCAAAGGCTTATACCATCATTTATTTTTCACGTTTTTTTTATTTGCTTTCACGTATCTGTTGTGTTTAATTCTCACACTCCCTTCATCCTTATATTAATTTTTATAAAGATGCATTTGGTCAATGTTTCAATGTTAGGAAATATAACCGCAAAACTGATCATGATTTCATTTTCAACAAAGACAATTTTTATTGAGGACGTAAAAAATATGATTCTTGAAAATGTAACGATAACGATAACGAATTCACTTCCGCTGATATGAAATTAAAAACATTCATAGGTATTATATGATTGTTAAGTAATGGAATGGAAAAACTGAAACGATGATTAGTTTTATTATAATTTGAATCATAGATATTCATTTAAATGGAACAAAATTGACATGTTGTCTTATGGCTAATTTTGCTAGTGCATGGAAGCAGATATAAATATTCCTGCGCGTATTTTTAGTTTGAATTTGCTAGATATTTTGGAATCATAATATTGCTTTATATAGTGCAGGGATCTCCATGACCTGTTTTAGGAAAGTGCACCGCTATCGTTAAAATACCTTCCGCCAACTTCAAATGATCCAAAGCCATCGTTAAATTATCTTCCGCCATCGTCAAATGATCCTCGCTATTGTCAAAATTTGTTTTCATCTCGTTAGCCGCTGCCATTTTTGTTAGCAATTATAATCAATTGCATGTAATTGCATAACCCTTAGGCTTATTGTATTATAATCCAAAGGGTCTTAAAGCCCTGAAAGCCCTTAGGGATATCCGACAGAAGATCGCTAATCTCTTGTACAGGTAGATCGACCCTCTGACAGGATATCACTTGATCATGATAGACGATTGATTGCATTATTGAAATACGATTCAAAAAATGCTAATGAAAATTTAGATTAAAAAATAAATCTTAAATCGAGTTACAAAGAAAAAAGTTTAACAAGTCGAACACGTGCTTTTATATTGCTTTAAGCAATCAGCACCCCCCTTTTTAAACTAGTACAAAATAAGACCTAAAACAGAACATAATTTCATGCCAAATAACACGAGTATAGCAATTATCGTTAATACTGAATCACTTTACAAGTTCAAAAGTAAATGCATGAATATTAACTGATTAACTGTAACTTGATAATCTGAATAAATTTTGTATCACAATTCCGAATTCATTTCGTAGTTCACAATCAAATTGATACATCCGGTTGGAATTCAG